TGGACGTGTCAGTGGATGGGTCTATGAAAGATGAGGTGAATCACAGAATTGATGAGGGGAAAAGGGTGAGTGGTGCACTTAGGAGTCTGTGGAGACAAAGAACTTTGTCCTTGGAGGCAAAGAGGGGAATGTATGAGAGTATAGTTTTACCAACATTCTTATATGGGTGTGAAGCATGGGTGATGAATGTTGCAGCAAGGAGAAGGCTGGAGGCAGTGGAGATGTCATGTCTGAGGGCAATGTGTGGTGTGAATATAATGCAGAAAATTCGTAGTCTGGAAGTTAGGAGGAGGTGCGGGATTACCAAAACTGTTGTCCAGAGGGCTGAGGAAGGGTTGTTGAGGTGGTTCAGACATGTAGAGAGAATGGAGCGAAACAGAGTGACTTCAACAGTGTATCAGTCTGTAGTGGAAGGAAGGTGGGGTAGGGGTCGGCCTAGGAATGGTTGGAGGGAGGGGGTAAAGGAGGTTTTGTGTGCAAGGGGCTTGGACTTCCAGCAGGCATGCGTGACCGTGTTTGATAGAAGTGAATGGAGACAAATGGTTTTTAATACTTGATGTGCTGTTGGAGTGTGAGCAAAGTAACATTTATGAAGGGGTTCAGGGAAACCGGCAGGCCGGACTTGAGTCCTGGAGATGGGAAGTACAGTGCCTGCACTCTGAAGGAGGGGTGTTAATGTTGCAGTTTAAAAACTGTAGTGTAAAGCACCCTTCTGGCAAGACAGTGATGGAGTGAATGATGGTGAAAGTTTTTCTTTTTTGGGCTACCCTGCCTTGGTGGGAATCGGCCAGTGTGATAATAATAAATAATATATATTTATATATATATTGAGGAAGAAAGGGAGGTGGTAATTTCATGCACTGGTCAGGGAGGTATACCATCTTTTAGGAGTGAAGAAGAGCAGAATGTAAGTGTGGGGGAGGTACGCGAGGCATTACGTAGAATGAAAGGGGGTAAAGCAATTGGAACTGATGGGATCATGACAGAAATGTTAAAAGCAGGGGGGGATATAGTGTTGGAGTGATTGGTACTTTTGTTTAATAAATGTATGAAAGAGGGGAAGGTACCTAGGGATTGGCGGAGAGCATGTATAGTCCCTTTATATAAAGGGAAAGGGGACAAAAGAGATTGTAAAAATCATAGAAGAATAAGTTTATTGAGTATACCAGGAAAAGTGTATGGTAGGGTTATAATTGAAAGAATTAGAGGTAAGACAGAATGTAGGATTGCGGATGAGCAAGGAGGTTTCAGAGTGGGTAGGGGATGTGTAGATCAAGTGTTTACATTGAAGCATATATGTGAACTGTATTTAGATAAAGGTAGGGAAGTTTTTATTGCATTTATGGATTTAGAAAAGGCATATGATAGAGTGGATAGGGAAGCAATGTGGCAGATGTTGCAAGTATATAGAATAGGTGGTAAGTTACTAAATGCTGTAAAGAGTTTTTATGAGGATAGTGAGGCTCAGGTTAGGGTGTGTAGAAGAGAGGGAGACTACTTCCTGGTAAAAGTAGGTCATAGACAGGGATGTGTAATGTCACCATGGTTGTTTAATATATTTATAGATGGGGTTGTAAAAGAAGTAAATGCTAGGGTGTTCGGGAGAGGGGTGGGATTAAATTATGGGGAATCAAATTCAAAATGGGAATTAACACAGTTACTTTTTGCTGATGATACTGTGCTTATGGGAGATTCTAAAGAAAAATTGCAAAGGTTAGTGGATGAGTTTGGGAATGTGTGTAAAAGTAGAAAGTTGAAAGTGAACATAGAAAAGAGTAAGGTGATGAGGGTATCAAATGATTTAGATAAAGAAAAATTGGATATCAAATTAGGGAGGAGGAGTATGGAAGAAGTGAATGTTTTCAGATACTTGGGAGTTGACGTGTCGGCGGATGGATTTATGAAGGATGAGGTTAATCATAGAATTGATGAGGGAAAAAAGGTGAGTGGTGCATTGAGGTATATGTGGAGTCAAAAAACGTTACCTATGGAGGCAACGAAGGGAATGTATGAAAGTATAGTAGTACCAACACTCTTATATGGGTGTGAAGCTTGGGTGGTAAATGCAGCAGCGAGGAGACGGTTGGAGGCAGTGGAGATGTCCTGTCTAAGGGCAATGTGTGGTGTAAATATTATGCAGAAAATTCGGAGTGTGGAAATTAGGAAAAGGTGTGGAGTTAATAAAAGTATTAGTCAGAGGGCAGAAGAGGGGTTGTTGAGGTGGTTTGGTCATTTAGAGAGAATGGATCAAAGTAGAATGACATGGAAAGCATATAAATCTAAACGGTTGGAGAGAGGGGGTAAATGAGGTTTTGTGGGCAAGGGGCTTGGACTTCCAGCAAGCGTGCGTGAGCGTGTTAGATAGGAGTGAATGGAGACGAATGGTACTTGGGACCTGACAATCTGTTGGAGTGTGAGCAGGGTAATATTTAGTGAAGGGATTCAGGGAAACCGGTTATTTTCATATAGTCGGACTTGAGTCCTGGAAATGGGAAGTACAATGCCTGCACTTTAAAGGAGGGGTATGGGATATTGGCAGTTTGGAGGGATATGTTGTGTATCTTTATACATATATGCTTCTAAACTGTTGTATTCTGAGCACCTCTGCAAAAACAGTGATTATGTGTGAGTGTGGTGAAAGTGTTGAATGATGATGAAAGCATTTTCTTTTTGGGGATTTTCTTTCTTTTTTGGGTCACCCTGCCTCGGTGGGAGACGGCCGACTTGTTGAAAAAAAAAAAATATATATATATATATATATGTATATATATATGTATGTATGTATATATATATACACACCTACCATCCGACTTATGACTGAGTTCGGTTCCGAGAAACCGGTGGTAAGTCGAAATGGTCGTAAGTCGAACTTTACTACTGAATATCAACAAAACATTTTTGTAATGGCTTTATTTTATTGTTTTATTTTGGTATTTTATGTTTTACTTTACTCTTTATGTTGTTAGTACTGTATTTTATACTGTAAGGTTCAGGATAAACACTGTGTACAACACAAATAGTTGTTTATTTCCCAGAAATTTGACATAAAAAAACACGGTCGTAAGTCGAGTGGTCGTAAGTCGAGCAGATTGTAAGTCGGATGGTAGGTGTGTGTATATATATATATATAAATATATATATATATTTTTTTTTTTTAACAAGTTGGTCATCTCCCACCGAGGCAGGGTGACCCAAAAAAAGAAAGAAAATCCCCAAAAAGAAAATACTTTCATCATCATTCAACACTTTCACCACACTCACACATTATCACTGCTTTTGCAGAGGTGCTCAGAATACAACGGTTTAGAAGCATATACGTATAAAGATACACAACATATCCCTCCAAACTGCCAATATCCCAAACCCCTCCTTTAAAGTGCAGGCATTGTACTTCCCATTTCCAGGACTCAAGTCCGACTATAAGAAAATAACCGGTTTCCCTGAATCCCTTCACTAAATATTACCCTGCTCACACTCCAACAGATCGTCAGGTCCCAAGTATCATTCGTCTCCATTCACTCCTATCTAACACGCTCATGCACGCTTGCTGGAAGTCCAAGCCCCTCGCCCACAAAACCTCCTTTACCCCCTCTTTCCAACCCTTTTGAGTTTGTCTAGCCTAATATTGAAGGTATTTATGCTGAAAAATGCATACAGGTCCTTGTGTCATTCAGCCTGGTGTTCGAGACAAAGTGAAGAGCTTCGTTTCAGACTCATTAAGTTAAGCATGTTGCATTTTGTTAGTGACAGGGGTCAAACATGGCATGACCTAGAGAACCCCCTGCATAGACTTGAGAATCCTAACTAATCATTTTAGCATGGTACAATGTTCCCTCTTGTTTATCTTACTGATGGGTTGGAGAGGGTGAGAATAATGTTGCATTGGTCACCAATGAGGATTTGTATTGTGCCAATTTACAAAACGAGTCCTCTATGTTCATTGTGGAGCTCTACACAATCTTTGCTTTTCTCTTCCTGATAGCCAGTATAGGTGGGCCCGAAGTCCCTGTTTATCAGTACTCGGTCTTCTGGTGGTCCTGGGTCAATATACTTTTGTCCACTCTATGGTCCAGAAGATCCAGGAGTGGTTAGCTAACATCCATGCCCAGCACATGATTATGGAGTTCAGCTGATGCCTGGGAAATATCCTGGTCTCAAGAAATGAGTGAACAGATGCTGAGGTGAAGGCTGATACTTCAAGCTAGCAGACTTCTGCCTCTCAGTGACTTCATATGCTACATAAATAGATGTATTCCTTGGGGAAATGATTTTCTGGGTTGTCCTGGGCTAATAACTCTCCAGGGTTAATGATCCAAAGAAAATCTTCACAACAATACACATTTTAGATCATTCAAATTAGAGTACGTATTTAAGTTTCGTGTAAGCTATAAAATTTATATAAAATTATCATGTGTTTATGTTAATCCATACATAATATAATATACCATGAAGAATTGATAAAATTTATTTAAGAAATTGATATACTGCATATTACTGCTTATTATTAAACTATTTTACCTTAAAAGTGTATTTATTCTCTACATATTTTTCATATAACCATTATAGTAATTCCATAAATATGGCTGAAATTGTAATTTGATAGGGAGCACTGTTTAAATATTATAATTCACACAGAATTAGATTATTTATGCAGACTTACTGAGCTAAGATGAATGATATACTTCATACCATAAGTGATACTCTGCCAAAATGCACCAATTTCAAACCTATGATAACAGTTCATCTTTTTCAGTAGCTTCTCAGAAGCTCGATTCATTTATACCTTTTTTTATGGCTAGCAGCATTTAAAAATGAGTTTAGGATATAATTCTACAAGTGCTGGCAAACTTAATGCACTAAAGCAAAACTCATGCATCAACACAAAACTTTTGCAGCTAAACACACAATAAATGTAAGATGCACATCAATCACTGGAGGTAGCCATGCCAAACAATAAGTTTATCTAAAGACCTGTGACATTAAAACTTTCATTATCTCACCTGGTATATCATCCATTGATGTCCCTGACCGTACACTGGCATCATCCCTGGAACTGCCATCTACACTTAACTTCTTGAGGCTCAAGTACTCACCCTGACGGAACTTTACATCTGCCAAGAACAAGACAGTAGCCTTGTGTGATTGATGAAATGTTGCAACACAAATTACTTCCCAAAAAACATTTATGAAAAATAATGACATATGTTCTACAGAACAGAATTAAAAAAAATGCAAAGAGGGTCACCAAAATAATAAAAGCAAAAATCTAACATGATTTCTTTAATAATAATAATAATAATAATAATAATAATAATAATAATAATAATAATCTGGAAACTAGCATTAGCATTAATAGTTTTTATATTGGCAGTGTATGAAAGGCACTTTAATGAAAAAAAAAAATTAAAAATTACCGAAATTTTGATGCAGTATTGGAAAATACCTACATGTATCACTTGTTTCAACATATACTATGTACTATACAGTATAGTAATAATATAATGCTTAGCGCTTCTTTTTGATTATAATAATAATAATAATATAATGCCCATAGCCATTTGCTAAAAAGTAAAAAAAAAAAAAATACAAACCATTCTGAATCTTGTTATTCTCATAGTAGGTGTCCTTGAGGTTATGTGCAAGTGCATCCTTCCAAGGTTTGTGCAAACTGTCAGTGTCTGCAGGTGTTGCAGTGCCTGGGGAACATATGGCAGACCCCAAACCAGAACCCACCAAAGAACCCAACGTAGAGCCCCGAGGGGTTCCCAAGGGATTAATCTGGGGTGTGTGGTGATGATAGAGGCTGTTGGACTTGGATATGTTTTGGACAAACTCCCGGGGATACTGAGGGAGGTTCTCTAGCTCATCTCCAGCTGAGCCGTAGCTACGGATGGTGTCAAAGTTGTTTAGCGGCATGTACGCAGGTTCACTAGGACTAGTGGGGTAGGAGTCGGGGCGAGGCGTGCAACCGTGCGGATTCTGTAACACATACAAGCCAACACAACAGTCAGGCACAGCCAACACAACACTTAGAACCTGACTGGGGCTGCTCAGGAGGAAGGGTAAGCCATCAAAATACACATTTTTTTTTAAGTTGTTAACTAAATATTGTTAAGTGTTACATGCCAATCAAAGGCATTAATGTTTATAACATATGAATTAAAATGCTTTTGATAAAGAATGTAACAATGTTTAGGCAGTTACATCAGTGTTATATGCTTACATTTTGATGAGTTACCATAATGTTAGTTGGGCCACTCTAAAGGAACAAAAAAACCACAAAATTGTCCCAGAACTTATTGGAATGCATGTGAAAATAATTCTCAAGCCTATTGCACATGCACAGCTTCTATCAAATAAAAAATAGCTATGCCATTACGGTGATGAAAAGCAAGATCTAGCAGTGAAGTCTACTACTGGAACATTAAAATGTGGTTTAAGATGTTTGCATAATGCTACCAAATTACAAAAAGCGTAAGAAATATGAGTACTGTTGTCTTCATACTCTTTGTTTACCAGAAATATTACTAAATTTCCAAGATTACAACAGGTGCATAAAAACAACGTTTAATCAGATGTTTAGTTATCATATTACCAGAGTACACCTCCACACGCATGAGAACACACACACACACACACACTCACCCCACAAAATCCTTAGCAGGATGCTTAAAATTTGCACATATATTTACCTGAGAAGCTTCCAAGTTGCTCAATTTTGAATTTCTTTTATAAATGTTGTGGTTATCTGTATTTTTGGGTTTCAGAATGACATGATTTGTCTGTTCAATTAGCTGTCGTCTGCGTGCTGCTCTTCTGTCTCGACAATGCATTGCAAGAACAATTATAAGGCCAAGAATGAAGACAGCTACAATGCCAATAACAATGTAGATGATCTGAAAAGAGGTTTTAAGGAAAGCAGATGTTAGAAAGAAAAACTGAAGTACATACAGTACTGGGTAATAAATGCATAGCACATTATATCATATTACTGAAGGAGAGCACAGTAAAAGAAAAGTTAGGGGCATACCTCTTCCATGCCAATGTCAATGAAAGATCCTCTGTATGCATCACAATAAGTTCCCGTGGCATTCCCTGGACACATACAGCGGAAACTACCATAAGAATTGATGCAAGTGCCACCATTGTGACAAGGGTTTTTGGCACATTCGTTGATGTCGATGTTGCAATAGGCACCGGTGAATCCTCTGCACTTACAAATTGGACCTGAAATCCCTTCTTCACATACTCCCCTATTGAGGCAAGGGTTAGGATTGCAATACATATACTGGCAACGCGGGCCTGACACTCGGGCTGGACATTCACATCTGTAAGCGTTTTCAATATTGACGCAATGTCCATTATTTAAGCATGGGGATGATGCACATGGATTAGAATCCAACTCACAACGGGAACCCTGAAAACGAGGATGACACTGACATATGAAAGATGAACCTCTCTCCTCACATGTACCACCATTAAGACAAGGATGAGCACCACAGACACCAGGAGGTTGCAATGCAGCTTGGCAGTGAGGTGCTACATGTGTCAGTCTAGTAAGTGATGCCACCTTGGTGGTAGTTGTGTGAGTCAAGGGCAAGGGTGTATTATCAACTCTGGGGTCATCGACACATCCTACAAGACCCTGGCGTGGGTCCTGTGCTCCTGCCCAAGGTCGTACTTCAGCTCCTAGATATAAATGTGGAGTATCAAGATTGAGCAAGTCAGATGATCCGGGTGAAGCACCTTGTCCACGATGCTGGCCATCCACTGTTATTTCAGCTGTGTTACCAAATCGCTCAAGACTAACATGATGCCACTGTCCATCATCAACACGCAGAGAAGTAACAGCAACCACTCCTTCCCCACTACCAAGGTCCCAGCGATAACGTAACTCACCACCCTCCAACTGAAATGAAAAGATTATGATTAAGATGAAAAACTGAGAACAATAAATATGTAAAATATAAAATATATCAAGATTAAAATAGAAAAATATTAACTTTGCTCCAATTATTCCCAAAATACAAAATGTAAAATATACCTCTAAGATGCTGTAGTCAATTCTACCAGCCGTAAACATGAGATTTCCAGATGGATGAAGTGTCCGGAACCACAGAGAAAAGGAAAAGTGGCGTTCAATAGGATTGCGGAGCGAATACTGTGCATAACTCTTCCCTTTGAAAGATAATGGTGATACTGGGCTGTAACATTCAGGAATATTGTCTTTACCAATGCAACTAGACTTGTTTTGTTTACATGTGGCACCTACCAATCCTTCAGGACATAGACAAACATATCCTAGTCTCGAGCTGTCAGGGATACACTTCTTGTATGATGGACAAGGTTTATGGGCACACTGATTGACAACAATGTCACATCGAGCACCAGAAAAGCCATTAGGACATATACACTTTGATTCATGGTGATGGCGGAGAGAAACAAAGCTCATGGTATCTGTGGTAATGGCAACTTCTTCATCATCAAGCACAATACGTTCCTCACACAGGCCATTTTCACAGGTATTATCAGTGCATTCGTCCTCAAGCACTCCAATTACATGAAGACCAAGAACTGACTCCAAAGTCTGTCGACCTGAGGAAATCTTCTTTCGCACAAAGTTTCTGGGGTAATAATCACTAGAAGACTTTCGGACAACAAAAAGCACATCTAGATCCCCTTGTTCAAAAATAGATTTTCCAACTGATTTCTTTTTGCTGTCTCTTCGTGCTCTTGCATGACTGTTCTGCAGACTTAAAATGATGACATCGCGAGATTTGGCATTGAGAAGGTTCTTTACTCCTCTGTGAAAGCTACGTCTGTATGATAACAAGAACTCTTCTGGGGTTGCCCCTGCAAGTTGAACAATAACAGCACTCTCCACCATATCGTCACTAATATCAACCACTTCAGCTTCAGCTTCACTGAAAGTTGTAAATTTTCCATCAGTAACTGATATGTTCACTGTGTATGAGCCTTCATCTAGACCTCCTTGGGCAGATAATGTGCCATCACGTGGATTAATGGTAAAATACCTGGTGTTAACACCCAAAGGGTCGGGCATTATTGAGTAAGTCAGAGTATCATAAGGATCTTCATCTGCAGCTTTAACTTTGCCAAGGACTCCTCCGAAGTATTCACCTGTATGCACGAACACTGTCACATGTAGTGGAAACACAACTGGATGATACCGGGACTCTTCAATAATCTGAAATGAATAAATACTATTTGATTTTAATAATTTTTCTACTAGTAGCTATTATTTTATATAACACAATACTATATTGTCAGCCTAATATTGAACATTTTTTGGAAAATAACTTCCACAATTTAACAATGTACGTATATAGATTTATATCACTGCATCACTGGAGCTTTAACCCTTTCAGGGCCGAGAGGCCCTCTCCTAAACTCGTTCTCAGGGTCGAAAATTTTTCGGAAAAAAATAATTATTTTTTCTTATGAAATGATAGAGAATCTTTTCCTGATCATAATAACACCAAAAGTATCAAATTTGATGGAAAACTTACGGAATTATGCTCTTGCGAATTTAGTGGTCTCAACGATGTTTATGCATCGGCGATTTCGCCCACTTTGAGCCCTATTTTTGGCCAATTTCAGTGTACTAGTCGACAAACATCATATGAATTTCGCTAGAATTCCATTTTTTCTATCAAATGAGTACAAGAAACCATCCATTTACCGATTTCAAGTATCCAATAAAGTGGTTAGAAATTGGCAATTTTGCCAATTTCACACAAATTTCAGAAGATGTCAATTTCCAAATAGGGTCCAGAATAAGCAAGACAGACATTCCTGGCACTAAAATAACATTTTCTCTGTTCATTAGTCACATCCCCTGGCCCCTCTTACATCTCTTTTGCTTTCCACTTTGAATTTTTATTCTCACAAAAAATAGAAGATAGTCTGTTGTACAGACTACTGCATTAGTATAGAAATGGTGTAGAAATGGTATAAATAATATCAGTGCACTTGTGAAAGAATATTAGACTCACCAGTTGACGTGTATTGGACACTTGTCATGATTTGTTTACTTTTGAAATTTGGTAAAAATCAAACATTTCTGCCACTTTGAGTTCAATTTCAAGGTACTTTTCATTATGAAACCAATCAAAATCATCTCAATTTCTGTAATATGTCTTCCATTCTATAAAATGAGACCAGGAAAACTAGAATACAACCATAAATACCATACGAAAATACACTGCAAAGTCGCTGTTTTAACCATTTCAGGGTCCGTCCCATAGATCTACGGCTTCACGTTGAGTGTCCAAACCATAGATCTATGCCAAAATTCTAGCGCCGTCAAATTTAGCGCGAAAGCACTCATAGGCCTACATGTGAGAGAACGGGTCTGCGTGGTGGGTGTGCGCCATAAACAAAAAATCTAGGCGCCCGCATAGCATTGTGGGAACGCCGGCTCAGTTACCCTTGTTCCCCACCCTCGCGCAAGTCAGCTTCACCCCCCTGGAAAATTGGGACTCCCCTTTCTATTGATAGTTCTGACATGATGGAAGGGGAAAAAATAAAGACGATTCTATGGCTTTAAATCAGTTAGTGCCCAAAAGGAATGACCGGATATCGATAATAGGCGGGAAAACCCCTGACGTCCTCAACCTTTCCCTTGGTGTGGGCCTCGTGACTTACGGTCGGTTGTCCCTAACAAAGGGGGAAAAACTAATATTTTTCACGTGGCCCAGGCCTCGACTTCGAAATGATGATGTAGTGGTGGTTTGGATTTTTTTGCGTTTGCGATCATTCGAGTGTGATAGTGAGGAAAATTCATATTCACCAGTGAAGGTCGGATGTCGCCGCGATGGCTGGGTAGTGTACCTTGCTGTCCCCCAGGGGAGGAGTAACCCCGGAGACATCCAGGGCCCCTACACCAGGTTAGATAGTGTAGTGAGGTGAAGTGGTAATTGGATGGATAGACCACAGGCATCAAGAGGTGGTGGGGGTGTTGGTAGGGCCCGCCATGCGTGACTCCCCCAGCCAGGCGGGGGGACCCACGCTGTGACTCCTCAGTTAAAGGACAAAGGGAGCGTCAGCCACCGCCCCCACAACCAAAAACCACCCGCCAAACCAGCCTATGATGTCCAGTATCCCCCAGAAAACCGTATCTGGGATTGGCGCAAAACCCCAATTTTTTTCCCCAAGCCCACTTTTTGATGACTCTAAAAGTGGAATTCTCCCTCTTGTCCCTTGGGAACCCACGGCCAAAAAAACTGAATTTTTGAATTTTTTTTGCCCAGCCATTGAGGGAAAATTTTTGTCGGGGAAAAGTAAAAGTATTTTGAGTCCCCAATGGAAAAATACGAAATCACCACAGTAAGGGATAAACAGGTGGAAAGGACGCTGTTGCAGAAATGTATTTGTTTTTGCAACAAAAGCTTATCCCTCATGTCTTAAGCAAAAAAAAAGCTACTGGCCCCTTTAGATCAGAAATTTTTTACCCGGTTTCAGTGAAATCACCCCCGTAAAACGGTTTATTTATGGTAGTTGTTGCATTCTCTGACAAAACAGGCGACGAAGGACGGTTATAAAGATTGAAAGTTTTTATGTATTCAATAAAAGTTCGCATTTTACTTTTATCCATTCAAGAATTTTTTAAATTGCGGTTTTTGATTTGTTCAAAGGTAGATGTCATTCAAGCAGTAATATCGAGCAGGGGAAAAACGCTTTGGTTAAAACTGTTTGTACTCTGTGACTGTGCAGGGGCCCGGCGTTGGATATTGTTGTATACAGGGAGTAAAAAATTGAAAAACCCAAGTGTTTTGGGTACTCAGGGACGTAGTGGAAACATGTGGCACCTTATTTGGGTTTTAAGGGGATACATTATATCCCGATAAATGGTACAAAAGGCCCATTACTCAGTGATTTCAGCGGTGAAAAAGACAGATGTGTGGGGACAGTGCTTCTAATCGTAAAATTGCCCGGTCAATGAGGTGTCGTGGTGATGCGTGCAGGGTTTATGCAATGACATATGGCTTACGGTGGCTGAAAAACGAGTTAAATTTTTAAAACCCATACCGTAATAAAATGCAAGGGTGGAAAAGGATCGAGGACTAAATAAAAGTATTCGAAAACCAGTGACAGTGATTGTTATCCCAAAAAACTGCGTTTGGTTGACAAAGTGGCATTCAAAAGGTTTTGTTGTTTGTTTTTGTAGAGTAACGGGTACATAAAAACTTTTTTCTTTCATGGAATTTCAATGTCAATGCATACATTAGTCAAAAAAAGATGGCAAAGCCCCCGTATGGTGAATTTTGTTTGTCGTTGTGACAACTCATAATAAAGTCCCGGGTAAGAACCCCTGCATACAACAAGGTCCTCGAATTTCGGATATACCAAGGGTTTTTGAGGAGGGAAGGTGTATTTATAATACCTTCCTTCAACTCAGAAGAAATTTGCTCAAAAGAATGCATCGTCTGTGCCAAACAAACGCCGGCACAAAACGCAAAGACATCGGTTTATGTGTGAGGAATGTAAGGTGCCTTGTGTATGGTGTTTTGTTTAAGGAGTTAACAAGCTCCGCGTTCTAAAAAAATGTCCAGTGATTGTAAAAAAAGTAAAAATTTGATGAAATTTGATTATACAAGATTTGTAGTTTATTTTAATAAACAACAGTGGTAAACAATAATATGTAATAACTTTAGTGCGGTTATTGTGTTAATACAGTGAGTTTATATACTATTAAATTTATACGTATTGGTTCTAGGCCCAATGTTAGTAGGGAAAAAAAAAAAAAATTGGAAAAGAAAAGAAAAAAAAATAAAAAACCGCTAAAAAAAGTAATGAGCGTTGTGGAATTCGCGATTTGCCCCCACCCCCCATATTTTTTTGGACAAATTCTTGGCCTGTTTCAGAAGTACTGATCAAATTTTTTTTTTTTTCTTATTACCTTCACAAAAAAAAATGCTCTTTAAATTTTAAGAAAAATTTTTTTTTTTTTTTTTTTCAAAATTTCTTGGACAAGGGCACCACTTCAGATTTTGGGCCTGGCCCCCAAAGGGTTAAACCAAAAAAACGGCGGAGTTTTTTTTTTTATGCACTGTGTGCTGCAGGATTTTTTTTTTTTTTCTGTGCCAATGACCCTTTGACCCTTTTTCAATGTAGGCTACCGTTTTCTCACTAGATTTGAAGGCGCTAGAAATTTTGGCGTTTGTACGTCAATAACTTGGTGCATAAGCCCTACTGTAGTTGGAAACCCCGAAAAGGGTTAAAATGTCTCACTCCCTTAAAATAAAAAAAATAAATTTTTTTCTTTTCTGCAGTATCGGTAATGTAGTTTATATGTAATAAATTTGTTAGGCACAAAGTCATTAACAAGCAGTGCACCCAAAGTAAGAACCCTTGTAAAGTATTTGTTTTATGTAAAAATGTGATACAGTAGTGGTTGATTTTGGTGGGCCTGCCTGCATGGGCCCGTAGGCTTACATGAGTGACTATGAAATTTTCTTTTTTTGTCACAAAAATTTTGAAATTTTTTTGGGTTTAAATTTTTCATTTTCAATAAGTTTCTTTTGCTTTTGCTATAATTATTTTGTTTTAAAATTACTGAAATACTCAAAAAAATAGAGTAGATTTTTTATATAGGCTTTAAAAAAGCGAGTATTTTTTTTTTTTTTTTGCAAAAAAAGTTTTGGAGTCATTTAGATGCAGTTGGTTATACTTGGCTTAAAATTTTTCAGTTATTTAAGTTGTTATTTTTAATTTTAAAAGGTGATTACAAAACAGTAAAAAGCCCCCATGTGTAGAGAGAGGAGAATGAAGAGAGAATGAAAGAAAGGAATGAGAGAGGAGAGAATGAGGAGGGGGTAAGAGGGGGGGGAAAGAGAGAAAGGGTTTAAAAGTGAGAAGGAAGGTTGCAAATCCCCCTGTCTCTGCTCCACTGACACATTCCCCCTTTCAGGAAAAGACAGCGAAGAAGGGGGGGAAGTGTTTAGCAGAGATGATGCCTAACCCCCCCCGGCACTTCCTAAGGTCCACTCCTAACAAAATTGGAAATTTGCAAAATTTAAAACTTCCAAAGAATGAATTTTCACTCCTACATAAAATATACATAGGCAAAATATTAATACATAAGGTACAAATAACAAAGGAAGAAAATACATACATACATATTTTAGCTTCAAAATTATTGAAATTATTTAACTGAACAGTTCTTTACAAATATTTACCAGACTG